TTTTTTTTTTTTTTTTTTAAAGATTTTATTGATTTATTCTGACAGACAGAGATCACAAGTAGGCAGAGAAGCAGAGAGAGAGAGAGAGAGAGAGAGAGAGAGGAGGAAGCAGGCTCCCTGCCAAGCAGAGAGCCCCATGTGGGGCTCGATCCCAGGATCCTGGAATCATGACCTGAGCCGAAGGCAGAGGCTTTAACCCACTGAGCCACCCAGGTGCCCCTAAGCTGAAAGTTTCTAATAGAGGATCCAAGTAACATCTCTCCAATGTGTAGAGCACCTTGTCATGTCTACCAAAATCCTTTCACGTTTTTAAATTGACTTCAGCTCTGGAGCCTGGCCGGGTAATGCCTGAAACCCAGGGTGCCTCTGAAGAGGTTGCATGAGGACCTTTGTGTCCGCTTCGGTGGCCTGGAGCCCTGCCCACCGGTGAGGAGACCAGGCAAGATGAGCAGGAACTCGGAGAGTGGTGCTGGGTTCTGCTCTTAGGGATATCTAGGGAGGAAAAAGAGATCATTCCAGCGACAGCCCCAAAAACAGCAGACAGGAAGCTATATAACTAAACTTATTTTAATGATGCAAGACAGCTTTCTCAAATCATAGGGCTGGATGGGATTTACTGAGACCTCCCAACGTCACCAACCCCTAACCCCCATGCAATCTTCACCTTGAGCTAAGAATCAGTCTGTTAGCCTCCAAAGTGCTCTCACAACCGTAATTTCATGTGAACCTCAAGGAAATTCCACCAGGCAAGTAGGGAAGTATTAGCATCTCTGTTTTACAAATCAACGAAACTGGAGAGCAGGCCAGGCCAGTTTACTTGCCAGCCTGAGTTCACAGAGAAGAAAGGCGTCAGAGCCATGCCTGGAGACACAGGCTCTCAGGCCAGGCGAGCTCTGGGAGAGCTCCTGTGTTTTACACTCACTACTAATCTGTGCATGCACACATTTGCTCTAAAAAGGCAAATGTCACAGGTTGACATTCCAACCAAAACTCACAGTGAGAAAGGATTTCTCCGGGACATCTGGCCATGAGCGGGCAAGGGAAGAGGGGGAGGAGGAGAGAACAAGAGAAAGCAAGAACACGAGCTGAGCCTGTTGGTAGCACAAGCGACGGACTCTCACGAGGTCTCTCTTATGTTGGCCCCTACTGTGCAGAGAGTCAGAAGGAGACAGGGCACATGTACAGAACCTGTCACCCGCCCTGAACACAATCCCCGCCCCACGACTCCACATCCAGCCGGCTTGTCCTGGCCGTCAGAACACTTGTCACATCTCTCTCATGCTCTGCTGGGTACATTTGCCACACACAGGGTTTCTGTTAATCTGGGGAAATCCTACCTGAGACTTTCACTGAATCAGAAACTGCTTCAGCCAATGACTGCTGTCTCCTGTCCTCTCGGCCAGGGAACAGGGTCCCTCGTTAGTCCACAAAGGTGCCCCACAATCTTGCCTCACATACTCTATTCCTTCTCTAACTCTAACCTGTCCTTCGAGATCTTCCTTCTCCAAGAAGCTGGAGTGTCTTGATCATCAGGGATTTCTTTCTTTTTTTCTTCCTTTTTTTATTTTTAAAAGATTTTATTTATTTATTTATTTATTTATTTATTTGAGAGAGAGATTGCAAGCCGGGGAAGAGGCAGAGAGACAGAGGGAGGAGCAGACTCCCCGCTGAGCAGGGAGCCCCTGTGAGACTCAATCGCAGGACTCTGGGATCAGGACCTGAGCCAAAGGCAGACACTTCACTGACTGAGCCACCCAGGTGCCGAACCCTCCAGGATTTCTGCCTCAGCTGGATTCTTGCAGCCATTATTAGCGAGACCTCTGACTTCCCATTCCCCTGTTCTTGGGACATTTGTATTCACTCCTGGCCGTAATTATTTGTCCCCGAACAAGACTGCAAACTCCCTGAGAGCAAAGCTGGCCTCTGACACTTCAGTGAATCTACGGGTGTCTGCCTATACATGCTCGCTGATGATTTTTCTGGGGAAAAGGTAGGCAAAGCTGGGATTAAATGTAGCAAGTTGTTAGAACTGGAGAGGAAAAAGGGCACGAAATGGGAGCAAATAATCTTCCCTCCTTTGAAGCTTCCAGTGTAAGTTTTAAGACCAACTAGGGTAAGCATTTTCGGTGTTGTTCTAAGATCAACATAAGGTAAGAGAACAAATAGAGGTGTTCCTTTGTGCTATTTTAGTAACAATGAAAACAGAATAATACCTGCTGAATGAAGAAAAGGCCTAGCTCTCTGGGATACAAGAACGGGCTAGTCACACCTCACCCGTAACAGTTTTGAATTTAATCCTATTACTCTGCAAAGCTGATTTATCACTGCATTTGAGGAACCCCTTTCTCCTAGTCCCCCTGGGTGGTGGGGGGAAGTTCACATGCTGAGGCAGGCTCCTCTCAAGCTCTCCTTTTTTTAGCCAAGGCAGGTTGCAGGGATTGGCCCCCAAGCCCCAGCACCCCCCCACCTGCTTCCACCCTCCCCACCCCTCCCCCCACCCCCGTAACTGTCACCACCTATTGAGACTGTTGGGTTTTTCTTCCCTCCAAGATCAGCTCTGGGAACATGGTCTCCTTACAACCACCCTTTCTTTCTGTCTCTGAAAACAAGTGCACAGATCCTCTTCATTTTAAGACTTTAATGTCCATCATCACAAGAGAAAAAATAAGATTTAAGGGGAAAACATGCGAAAGTTACCTAAAGGATATAAATCTGACAGTCTTGGATCTTGATCTAAAGTATCTGATGATCTGGTTGAAATAACTGGGAATTTCTTTTATACCAACACTGAGTATGAGATAATAGAAAAGCACATATTGGTCTCGGTCCCATGTTCCCGGCACAGAGCTCAAACCCTTGTAATTTCCTGAGTGATAAGAGCACTTAGGAGCATCTCTTGTCCTGTTGAGGTGACTATGGATGGGCTCCTAGATGGGGGCTGGTTACCAGAAAGACCAAGTCCTGATTAGAAGCTTAGAATTTTCAGCCCCACTCACTGTCCTCCGGAGGGGGGAGGAGGGGCTAGAAATGGATTTAATAATTGATCATGCCTCCATGAGGGAGCCTCTGCATACAGCCCCATAGGATGGAGTCGCTCTTACAGTGTTGTTATAAATTATCTCTATTTCTGTGCAGGTCCACCTGCTATAGCTTTTCCTCACCCTGTTCCCATGAAGAGAGATGGAATCAGCTACAGATCTTTCTCAACTTACGAGGGGGTTATGTCCAGATGAAGACATCATGAGTGGAAAATACTGTAAGTCAAAAAAAGCATTAAAACACCTACTCTGCTGACCATTCTGGCGCAGCCTGGCCTACCTTAGACACGCTCAGAACACTCGCACTGGCATCGAACCCAAAGCCTGTTTTGTTTGTTTGTTTTTAATAAAGATTTTATTTATTTATTTGACAGAAATCACAAGTAGGCAGAGAGGCAGGCGGGGTGGGGGGTGGAGAGCAGACTCCCCGATGAGCAGAGAGCCCGATTTGGGGCTTGATCCCAGAACCCTGGGATCATGACCTGAGCTGAAGGCACAGGTTTAACCCACTGAGCCACCCAGGCGCCCCCACAAAGCCCGTTTTATGATAAAGTGTGGCATAGCTCCTGTAATGTACTGAATACTGCACTGAAAGTGAGACCCAGATGGTTGCTAAGTGTTTCAGTTGCTTATCCTGGTAACTGCGGGGCTGACTGCCGGCCCTGACCTGCACCACAAGAGTGTCACACTGCATGTCGCTAGCCTGGGAGAAGCTCAAAGTCCAAAACTCATTATATGGTTGCTAACGAATGTGTATTGCTTTTGCTCCCCACAAAGCTGAAAAAATCATAAGTCAAATCGTTGGAAGCCAGGGACCATCTATAATTTCAATATATTTTTCTCAGGGTGCCTGGGTGGCTCAGTCGGTTAAGCATCTGACTGGATTTCAGCTCAGGTCATGATCTCAGGGTTGTGGGATGGAGCCCTGTGTTGGGCTCCACGGTCAGCACAGAGTCTATTTGAGAGTCTTTCTCTGCTCCCCCACCCCCCGCCGCCCCTCACCCTGCGCATGTGCTCTCTAAACAAAATAAATAAAATCTTAAAAATAAATATATTTTTCTCACTGATTGAACTTACTGGTTTTTTTTTTCTTTTAAAGATTTTATTTTTAAGTAATCTTTACACCCAACGTGGGGCTTGAACCTACAACCCCGAGGTCAAGAATCGCCATGTGCTCTACCAATTGAGCCAGCCAGGGGCCCTCTTACTGTTCTTTTTCTAGATATTTACCCAATAATATCTCCAAGTCTTATCATCATGTCTTTAAATGGAAGGACGTAGAAGAGAAATAGAAGGCCATCCTTTATACAACAGAATTCTCCAGGGTTCAGTTCTTGGCCCACCTCCTAGGCAATCAGTGCCCACGTCTTCAGTTGCTGGATTCTATCTCTCACCCCACTGTCCCTCCTGAGCTCTTGGCTCATAAACTTAGCTCTCTTCCGAATGCATATACTTGTGGTTCACAGGTACCTCACACCTAGCATGTCCTGCCTCATTTCCAGTCTCAGTGGTGGGTGGTGTGAGCGTGAACACAATTGCCCAACCCAGATACCCAGGAGTTACCGTTCCTTGACTGGAAGCTGCCCCCCTCCAGCCTGTAAGCACGCGGAAGGCAGGGACTGTATCTTGTTATGGTTGTATCCCTAGCATCCACTCTTGCGCCGTAAAATACTTGTGGGCTAGATGAATAAACATGCCAGTAATTCCTCCTCTTTCATTTTAGGGCAGCGGCTGAAACCACTTTGCAAGTGGATATTGAATCGGGGATAGAAAACTCCTATCTTCAGGCTGGATGGTCATTTTATCGGGCACAGAGGAGTGAGAATGGGGAGAGGCTATTGAGGCTGAGTGTCCCAAGAAAGAGTAGGACCCTGCAGGAGGCGAAGGAAGACCCAAGAAGGGCTGTCACCCAGGAACAACATATGGATACCAGCTTGAATATATCCCTGTGTCTGTCACTCCCCAACTGAATTTTATTTTCTGGTTTTCCATGCACATTACTTGCAAAAATTTGCAAGCGATCACTGACACAAACAACACCATTGGATAAACCCAGGGATCACATAAGAGAATCAATTAGGTAAAGGAATATGTGGATATGGAAAGCAGAGAAATATAGTAACAATAATGATAGCCCCTATAGGGGCACCTGGGTGGCTCAGAGGGTTGGCCACTGCCTTCAGCTCTGGTCATGATCTCAGAGTCCTGGGATTGAGTCCTGTGTCTGGCTCTCTGCTCGGTGGGGAGCCTGCTTCCCCCTCTCTCTTTGCCTGCCTCTCTGCCTACTTGTTATCTCTTTCTTTGTCAAATAAATAAATAAAAATATTTTTAAAATATATAAAAAAAAAATGATAGCCCCTGTAGTGTGCCAATCACTCTTCTAGAAATATCACCCCCACCACCACTTGCAAATATCTGGCTACTGGGCATTGTGCTAAGTGTCATACATTTATT